TATAAACAATTTTAATTGGGCTTATTATCCCACAATTGATATAATTCTCATTAATGTTCCCGACCCGGTTGGATTGCAATATTAGACAATAGACAACGTAAGAAATTATTTTAGGGTTCTATTTTTTCCTCTCATCGAATTAAAGTAAAATGATTATATACAATGTTAAGTGTGCTTATTATCAGAGATGTGACTTATCTTAGATACAAGTATTTGAAATACAGATACAAGATACAAAATACGTATTTTCATCTTGTATCTAAAATACTTTTTTTAGGAAGTATTTTGTATCTTGTATTTAAATACTTTTGTTTAGTGTCTTAGTATCTTTAAAATACTTTTTCTGGTAAAATACTTTATAAAAAGATTATTTCTTACATTTTATAAATATCACAAAACATTATTTGCCTAAAACATACATATTTATAAAAAGAAAGTGTTCAATTATCAACGCAATGAATATTTAGTTAAAAATAACTCGAATCCAAACATTGTTTGGTGTAATTTAAAAAGTAAATGCGTAGAACTGAACGTACGGTTATACCGGTGTAATACACCCTCCCTAGTAAAAATTGATAGATGGCGCATAGGGCTTGAAATCGAATAACCAGTTACAAGCAATAAAAAATCTTGATTTATGTAAAAACCCGGTTATATGCTATAAATAAAACTCAGTATATCAATTAAACTCATTATTAAATTTTATTATTTTTTTGCACATTATACTTTTTCTACTAACAACAGCATTCAAAAAGTTTCACTGTGAAATTCGATACATGGCAAATGCTTGAAATTATATCCCGTGAGCAAAGCAATATTTCTTTTATTGACTCAACAGTTAATCTTTTTCTATCTTTTGACCACTGCATATTCATGAGCGAAAAAAAAAAATCAAATCTTCAGTAGTTCGGAAATGAGTGCTGTCATTGCATATATTGAAAATAATTACCCACTGCTTTTCAACTAATTCGTCATAAAAATAAATTTGTTAATAGAAAAAATTCTTCAAATATTTCTTTGACATCGTCAATTAATACTCCTTTATTTTTCAAAAATACAACACAATCTGTGATGTAATCGTATAGTAGATTTTGCTTTAATAAGTAACCATTTAATTCAAGGGATCTTTATTGAGAAACAACAAAAAAATGGGCGGAGTCCTGTTTTAATATTAGGTCTTTACCTATGTAATTGCCGTTCTGCTGTACTAGCCATTTAAAATCAAACTATTTTTTTTGGCTGATAATTCTAATATCAAATTATTTTTTCTAAAATCGTAATTTGGGCAATAGTAACTGTTTTGTTTTCAATGCATTTGAATATTTTTCGTCGTCATGGATAAGTTAAAAATTCGAGTAATTATGGAGTATGTGTGCCATCGTAGCAGCAAAGCGGCACGCAACATTACAACGTTTGCAGAGCGAACACTACAAACGAACGCACCACCCGTTATCGGTTTGCCCGTTATTGGTTTACGAAAAGGTTGCTGTTTGGTGGTCTAACGCGGATGTATTTCATCACAGCTTCTTACCAAACAGGACGAGCATTACTGCAGATTTACTGTGTGTATTGTGAAGAACTGAACACAATGACGGAGAAGCTGGCACAACTCCAACCAGGTTTTGTCAATCGTTCGGTTCCACTGCTCCTGCACGACCACGTACGACCTCATACTACACAATTGGCGGTACCCAAGCTAAAGAGCTGGGGTTTGAAGTTCTCCGTCATCCGCCGTACTTAACAGACCATGCGCCTACAGACTTCCAATTCTTCCAGAATTTGGATAACGTCTTAGCGGGAAAAAAATAAATTCCCGAGAGGCAGTACAAAATGCCTTTGAAGTATTTGTTACCTCCCGTCCAGCTGATTTCTTCAAGAAGGCATCATTAAGCTACCAATGCGTTGGCAAAGATGTATTGATTGCATGGGTGATCACTTTGATTAATAGAAATAAGAAAATAAAGCTTCATTTATTTTATTAAAAACGGAAATTTCATCGATAAAGACTTAATTAATACTTCAAATCATAGTTGAGACCGGATTTATCCGATCAGATGGTAACTAATGGCGCATTACCAACAGTACCAGTAATACCAACTCTACGTCTTTTAGGTACATCTACGTATTATAAGCCTTTCCTACAAACCAACGTACTATAATCAACCACAGCAGCTAAGTATTTTCTACTAAAAATTTTCAAATTAGCTTAACGCACTAAAGGGGCATAATTTTCGGTAGTTCTGCAAAAAAAGTTAATATACGTTCCGTTACATACTATCGCACATTCACCTCGTCACAAGTCACGCCATTAATTTTAAAAACCAAGTACTGTATTTATTTTTACCCACTAGGAAAAAAATAATTTTCAGTTCTCCGTAATTTTACGTCGTACGTAAAACCAGCTTTTTAAATAAATAATAATTTTATAATTAAATGTAAATAATTATTCTTGTTGTTATATTTCAGCAATTTTTCATTCACAATGCTATATTGAAAAAAAATATTATTAAAAAGGAACTTAAAAATTTAAAATAATTTAAACCTGATGTATTAAATATTTGCATTTTTATATGTTACATTGTGATTGACAAACAAATAAAACGGAGGAAAAGTGGGTGAAATTTAGCTTGTAAGATTTGAGTACAAACACAGAAAACTAAATAAAAGCTTACAAAAATTGTTTCTAATGAAAAATGCTTAAAAAATCCACTTTGTCCCTGGAACCATCTGGTCTAAGATTTAGGTTTTTGTGGTCTTTAATAAACAAACTTAAATTCAAATCTTTTTTTAGAAAAGTATTTGTATTTATAAAAAGTATCTATAAGATACCTATTTTGTATCTAGTATTTCAAATACTTTTCTCGAAAGTATTTCGTATCTGGTATCTGAAATACTTAATTTAAAAGTATTTTGTATCTTGTATTCCAGATACTTTGTACAGGGTATTTTGTACATCTCTGCTTATTATATATCATTTGATGCCACTTTCATTTATGTCCGCGACTGGGTCGTATTCCGCCCAGTGATTATTACCATTGTCCTATAAAGTTTTCAGGCTTATAGCGCTACAACAGCAGACTTTCATTCGTCTCCGAGCTAAGCAACTTTGTTATTCGTCCTTATTTTGTCACGGACTGATATGAAAAATAAAATTAGAGACTTACTGACATACTTGCGTCGAGTAGGTATTCATTTGTAAAATTGAACATAATCAGTCTTGGAACGTTTCGTAAATATTGTAAAGAATGGCAAAAGAATAAAGAATCAGGGTTGTCTAGCTGAATGTCTTGTATTTTATTGAGTCATAAATCGTTTTGTCTAATTGTATTAATCATAGATGTTTCTAAGATGAATAAATAATGTCATTATTATTTCAAAATCCACGATGGTGGCGCAATTGGTGGCGATGTTGTAAAGTTGCTCTTAACTTTGATATTCAATAAAAGCCTTCAATATACGTTACAAAAATTTATTCTAGTATTTCTCATAATTAACCAGCTTTATACTTAAGGTAGGTAGGCATAGAAATGTTCATACTATAATTCATTTGAATACATAATACGAACTTGGACATATGTTACATTGTCAATAAATCGGTTCTACCGAATCAAAGAATAATACGGGAAATAAAGTTATAGTGTGGCCAGATGTGATTCCTTAAATTTCTTTACTGCAGCGTTTCTCAGTGTGCTCCACAGAGCCAACTGTACAATATACATATAACTTAATGCCAATTAAGTTCCAATAGTCAAATGAAGTGTGATAACTAAATATGTAATCAATATTAAACAATTGACATTAGATATCTAGTCAGGTAAGACCTTTAATATTATAAATGACTATTCAGAATATATTCATTAAGTATTTAATACTCATTCTACCTGTTTCTGACCAATCTTTTAATTTTTATTTATGGGTTTCACAGCACTAAGCAAAGTTTTTATACTAAGTGTTATCCATTAAATTTGGATAGGTTTTATTTGATTCTATAATGTTTAGGTGTTATAAAAATGTACACTACATATATCCAAAATATTTTCAAATGTAATTTTAACACAGAATCACAAAAAATATCCAATCCGGCAACACTATGAAAAGTTAAATCTAAATTTTTAAGTAACATCATATTTTTATAAATAAAATGAAACCTAACTAATAAATAAAATTCAGTCAAATAAAAGAAAACTGGTTAACTTATGTACATTGAGCTATTGTTCTAAAACAAAATCGTAGTCCTTTGTACAAAACCAATACAGCTATAAAACAATATTTTTAAAATTCATCATTTCTTAACATTTATTGACTGTATTCAAGTCTTAAGTGAAAATACAATTGCATAAACTAATTCAGGAGCGTCACTAATTTGGTTAACATTGCTATAGCTAGGTACTAAGTGCACCATGTGTATTGAGAATTAGATGTTACAAATTAAATAGACTTTATAAGCATTCCATCATGCCTCATTTAAATGATAGTACATAAAAAATCAATGTCTGTCAGAGAGGCATCTCAAATTTGTACTAACGCTTGTGACCCACCATTACAGCAAAATCTATTGATGATAATTCAGACTAAGTAAATATTGCTCATACAGCAACATCATGAGATTTGCTTAGATTCTTAAATTTAGATAACTTGTCATGCTTTTATATACAAATGATAAATGTTAAAACAAATATTTGTTCATTGTTTGGAATAAAAATAATCACTTTCCCTTCTGAGAGGTTATATAATTTGTTTTTATAAACTATGTTTACAAGGCATTCCATAGTGATCATTTACACTGGAAGAATTTTATCTTTCTCTACTTAACTCTAAGATGAACACACAAATGTACAAACAAACAATAATCAAAAGAAATTACATATTTTTGGCTTATTTTTAAGTAGATTAATCAATTATTAAATATAAAAAGTCAAAGTTAGGATGAATTACTTCTTGCAAACATTACCAACTGTAACAAAAATATGAATTTATTTTGAATTGTAATATTTTTCTTTAGTGAACACATCAGGTTATTACAAAAACCAGTAAGCCAATTCAGCTAATTTATAAATAATAATTGTATCTCAATACAATCTCCACTACTTGCATTTTAAGCCTTTGTACTATCTTCCCGAAGCCCAATATTATTAAAGGTATACCTCTCATCATTGATTTGTGAGCAAGACATTGTACTAATAATATTGGACCTCAGGTAGATAGTACAAAGGCAAAATGTAAATAGTTCAGATTCTATTGAGATGTGATTGATTATTATGTAAAAATTTGCCGATTTGACCTACAGATTTCTACAACTTTACCATGAACAGATTAAGGTTTTATTGCTATTGCAGAAATTTATGGTTTTGGTAGTAGCCTAATGAGGTGTCAATGGTACTTACACAAGTTTGATTATAAATATCAATGACATGACAATGAGGTACATATTACTTCTTGTTAACACATAAATATGTCCCATGATCTATTTCTGTGATTAACAGTAGGTTAATATTGACTAAGCAATTGATATTGTGACATTTATTCCAAGATTCCCATTGTCAGCAAATAGTTGTGCAAGAGAGGTATCAAATACAAGACAGTCAGAATTCATTATAGCTGAAGATACCCCTTCATGGATGGATCTAGGCATTGCTTCCCAGGTAAGACGACGACGATGTCCATTTAGTTCCAATCGATACGCAAAATTTTCTGCTTCTTTGCGTGAACCTATAAGTTGTACTATAGCAAAAAATTGCTGATGTCCATCAAATTTCTCTTGTTTTTCAAGTACTAACATGAAATGGTGATTGAAACAAGACTGCATCATAACCCAGTCGACTGCTCCTGGCAAGTTAATGTCAGTGGCTAAGAACACAATGTCCTCTCCCTGCAGAGTTGTGATACTTTTATGAGACATCATTAGATGGGGCATCACTTGATCCAATCCACCTTGCCATTTGCATGATGCACCTGGACAAGGACATGAGTATGGTCTGAATTCACAAGCTTCTTCATGTTCCGCTTTTTCTGTATGCACAAGAGTGACAGTACAACCGGTATTAGAATGTTTACATGGGAACATGACATTGCTAGCAACTTTTTCCATGGCAAGGTTTCGTATATTACCGAGGGGCCCACGGCAGGTGGGGCAGCATGATAGCTTCGGTCGACAGCTGGAGCAGACGAGATGCCCGCTCTGACATTGCAGTATTGGGGGTAAGACATAATCGAAACAAACTGGACATTCAAAGAGAGATGCGAGATCAGCAGACATTGCGGTCGGGACGTTTACGAGAGCGGGTACTCCAGACACAGAACAACTGGAACTGCTTGTTCCACGCCGTTTGTTGTTTGTGCTCATGTCACCGTCACGGGCACATAAAACCTGTCGATCTGCGACCAATTTTAACTCCTCTTACTGTCCGGTATTAGAACACACCACACTTGTTTTATAATTATCTCTCATTTGTATCCCTCCACAGCTGATGTTACTTGTTTTGTAGATGCACTGAAATGAGTTTCCATCACAACTGCAATCGTGTTGAACTATGTAAAATTGCACTGAATTCAAGGACGTTTTTGTGTTGTTTCTTTTTGTGAACTATTATAGATTTAGAAAACACGCAAATTACATCTAGTGAGTAAATGAAAATCAATTTACTGGGAATATTCTAGTTGCACACAAAAGGGATGAAACTCGTGGTATAAATTCATGACGAAGAACAAACCGACTAAGCACAACACGACACGACACGAACTGACAGACGTAATGAAAAGGAATGGTAGGCTTGTCAAATAAATATCGATATATCGATATTTTTATTTCGATATATCGATATTTCTACGTGATATATTTTGTAACGATATAATATCGAAATTGTCATAAATAAGATATTTTCTTTCGTTTTTATTTGAAAGAGAAAATTAATAAAAACAAAATCATTAAATAATTGTCCTTACGTTATCCACACACTTTTACACTTTGATTATCCGTAATCCGTAACGAACCTCAATGTGCGCCTTTTATCTTCAATTTGAGTTGGTCTTCAATCTTATTAATTGAATCAATAATTGATTTGAGCATTCCAGTCATTTCTAGTGTTGTTTGGAACTTTTAAAAAAATGGACAAATAAAACTTTTCATGTAATATATGTAGAAAAAAGATATAAAATCAGTGTAATGTAAATACGATGAATTTAGCTACACATCTAAAAAATAAGCATAACGATGCGTTTCTCCAATTTAAAAATAAAAACTTCAGTCAAGTGAAGTGGATGATATTACATCAAGTTCTTCAGAACATAAGACGACTGAAGTATTATTATTATTTATTGTTGTAGGGGGCTATGCAGTTTCCTGAGGACCTGTAGTCACTGCGACCTTGAAGATCTATTGTGACTCGCCGCCAGATCTATAGTAACTCCTGTAGCTCAGTAGACTTCAAAAAGTCTATAATATCCCGGCTTTTAGAGTTTTTATATCTTCTGGGCTGATTATATGTCGTCCCAGATGTATGCTTCGTTTATGGATCAGTGGTCTACATTCACACAGTAGATGTTTTGGTGTTTCACGTTTCTGTTTGCAATATCTGTCAATGTCAGTGTCACTTAGTTTCATGTTAAATAGGTGTCTGTTTAATTTGCAGTGTCCGGATAAGGTTCATACAGTTGAACTTATATTTGCTCTGTTAAGCTTCAAGAGCTCTTCAGATAGTTTTTGTGAATGACCTTCAATTAGGGATTTAGCGTGATTTAATCCCGGCTGTTTTTACTGACTGAAGTAGATTAGACCTTTTTTCATATCACACTAACATATCGATATTTTCCCATATCTAAAAACGAAAATTTGGAGCGTGCTAGTGTTGTTGAAAAAGAAAAAATTGCGTGGTAATTAATGCGTTAATTTATTAACGCGTTAAGTACACAATGAAAAGGGTGCGCGACAAATGCATTAAATCTACCAGTATACTAAATCTAGTAGCACGTGTTATATATTTATTACGTGTCGATCTTTGAACTGAGCGCGTGCTACAGTAAACAATATTTAATTAATAATACTAATACATATGAAATAAAAGTAAATGTACATTTGTTATCTACACATATTACAATTTTACATCCCGTCACTAAAATGTTTCCTTATATTTATTAACATTATCAGCTTTATTATAGACACGTACTTATAATAATAATTGATGTCAAAAAAAATATTTAATTTTGTTTCTTTTTTTACAATGAGGAAGTATTTAAAAAGAAACATTACTTCCCGAAATCAAACTAGATGTCGCTGCAGTTCTTTCTTGATTTCTCCATGACAACCCTTCCGGTTTTCTTTCATGTATAAAAGTAAATTAGTTTTCAAAACTCAATAAACAACTCATATTCTATTGTACTTTTTCGTATTTGTATTGATATCTAAGTTTCGAAGTTTGCAAATTTCAGTTTTTTTATGTTAGTTAAAAGGAACGGAAATTACTATCTTTGGCAATGAGTTTAATAACTAGAGAAGCAATCCCATACAACAGACGCGCCAAAAAGCGTAGCACTTTTCTGAAATCAGGACGTAGCTTTGCAAATAATATTTATACTATATAATATATATAGATTTATTATATTTGTCTCCCTCATATCTACGATTAAACTTTAAATTAAACAAAGACAGAATATGTGCGAACGACAGAATGAACGGAAAAATGGGTAATTGATATTGTATTGCCAGCTGTCGAAAATTTCACCCATTGTGATGAATGAATGAATGAACGAGTAGTGTAGATATATGTTTAAAATCAACTAGTAAAATACTGTAACTTTGAAAAATTCTTTGCAAAATCTTTGAAAAAAAAAACAATTACGAAAGTAGGCTCTCTGCATATATATCCCTTTGTGTTTCGATGAAGTCAGTGGTTAAGACAAACACATTTGTCAAAGTTCATAAAACATCAAACAAACAATTTTACGTATTTTCAAAAGTTGTATCTCGACAACTAATGAATTCCACGCATTGAAAAAATTAAACCACATTAGCACATCTGTGTGCATGTATAAAAAAATATATCAACAGAATTAGCGCAGTTGCCTATACTTAAGCTGAGCTATATAATTAATTATAAAAAGATATTTAGATAAATTATAGCCACATATAGTAAAATAAAAAGAAAAGGTTCCCATATACTTGGGAAAATTGAAAGTGAATAGCAGTGGCAACACTGACGAGAAAATGTCGAAATTTTATTTGTGAAAATTAAATATTTTTATTTTATAACCTAGCTTTAATTTTATATTTATTGCCAAAAATGTTAATGACTTAAGTGTGAAACTTAATAATCTTTCGTATTATGTGTATTTGTGAAAGAGAATCGAATTTCATCTACTGTTTTTCTTTGTTTTTGCGGAGCATTTTTTTGTACTTTCTTGGCGGGAGTTGAATGAGTAATGAAGTGAAAAACGAAAAAACTAAGACAAACGTCTTAGTTTTAGTAGCTTCAGATTTTTGGTATGTATTGCGTATCTAGACATATTAATATCATTGATCTTTGGCCCATTCGTATCCTGCAAAAATCAACATTTGCTAGGGTCACCATCTAGTGAGGTGCTTTTCTTTTTTTTTCTCAAAACTCCTTACCCGAGTCAATACAACAGGCAAAGTCCTTAGACATTTTTAAATCGCTGCTAAAATCTTTAGGTATACCTGTCTGAAGGTTAATCTTCCTTTACTTTCTTTCTCTATTCTCTTTTTTTTTTCTCTGAAACGGTTTATATTTTATTAAACGTATTCAATTATTTCTAAACCCATTACTATAAAATTTTTTGTATGTAGATCAAATCATTTATTGTATGTCACATTAAAATTATAAAATGGTTATTATTCTGTTGTTCGTGTACCTACATTTGACGCCCTGTAAGGGCATAGCAATGTTACAATACAATTATGGAAGATTGCAATAATACAAATACCTAAAATTAAATAATATTAGAAATTACATGTCAAGAAGTTTACAACAATAAATGTTAACAACAATTAAATATAAATCGGGCATTTCAAATATTACAATGTTCATCAATAACAATTTTTAATTTATTAATAATAATATAATGTCAGTTTTTCATTAAGTTTTAATTGATTATTATTTTAATTAATTTTATTTTTAATTTTTATATTAATTTTAATTGATTATTAAATGACATTTCTGTTTCCAGATTTTAATTATAGATTGGTATATGATTAAAGATTTTTATTGACATATCATGCGGGCCAGACGCGACTTTTTCTAATTTAGAGAAGTGTATTTTTAGTTTGTTTAGATATCTATTGCCTCTCTTAACACTTGATATAGGTGTATAAAATTCTGGGTGGCCGCATTTACATATTTCAAGAATATATATCTATCTTAAACACACTGTTGGGTATACGCGATAGCGTATATTGGGTGTATTTACAACCTAGATGTCAAACGATATTGAAGAATTTTATCTATGAATCAACGTACACCGCCATCTATGAGAACTTCATAAAACTAAACAGTAAATAAATACTTGCTAAGAAAAAAATAATTAGTACACTAACCCTCAGATCTCATGTCTCTCTACTTTTTGGGTAGTAAACGTTTATTATAAAAATTAACTTGTTTTCAACAACTCTACTTGTGTGCAACGGAAAAAAAAACACGAAGTCTTCTTCAAAGTATTTATTTACTTGACATTTTATTGCCCAACACAGAATAAAAATATAACAATGTAGTCGTAGATGTCGTAGATGTTGTACAGTAGGCGGTAGTATTATTACAGTTATCTGAAAAATTAAGAAATGCAACAATAATGTCTCAGCAGTTGGGGGCAACTACGTGAAGCAGAAATAACAGTTGTATGCAGTCGCCACTGTGAAAAGGTTTAAAATATTTCATATTTTAATGAAATTTAATTCATTAGGTATGACATTTTTATATGATTTACATTTCGACGGAAAATTGGACTTCCAAACTCTTTATTAATCAAAGTACAAATTTTATAAAACAATTTTTAGAAATGTTTAATGATCATTAATATATTATTAAACTTCAAAAGAAATGTTTATTACAATATTTCTACTGCATTGACTTGTTATACAACGTAATAAATATATATCAGAAATTAATCGTCGTTTATTTAAACCATATAAAAATTATTCCTCACCAACTAGAAATTTACTAAAATATGTAAACAAAATTTTCTGTTAATGACATTGCCTAAAACTCACATAAGACCAACATAAGACTTTGTGTATTGTTAGAGATCTTCCTATACTATTAAATACGAGTATGTACTCGATACTTTTTATTCGATACCGAGTATTAATAGCAACGAATCAATCTTGCGGTACATATTTGGTATCGAAACAAAATCGAATCGAATCAGACCTGACCATATCGTACACCCATATCAACAATACACAATTATCCGACTAATACAGTATTAACATAATACAGTATTGTTCTATGTGTGAGATAAAAGTACGAGAAATTGTTAATTCGATAAAAATAGTGTAGTGCAGTCGGATAAGCTACGAAAAATCCAAATGCGCAACAATTTTTCAGGCGAATCAGTTTTAAAACTTATTTCAGATGTAAGAACTAGATGGAATTCAACATTTTTTATGTTAGAGCGATTCTTACAATTAAGAGTAGTAATATCAGAAATTGTACTTGAGAGTGTAGTAGCTCCAGCCAAGTGCTTTGGAGATGGAAACATTGAATGAGCTTACAGATGTATTCAAACAGTTTTAA